ATTCCGTGAACAATTACAGAGATGGATCTACTACTTCATAGATGCCACTGAAATGGTGCCAGAAGCACAGAGCCGATGCCACCACTATGCAGCCATCTTGCTTGCTAGCACCATTAACAAAGAGGCCCAGCCTTTCTCTTACTTTATCCTTACAAGTGTCACAAGATTGCCTCTGATGGACCCTACCTATGAAATCAAACAGTACTTAAAGGTAATAGAGGAATTGTGGCTTAAGAACTTTTTCAAATATTTTTCAAACATGAGTAGAGTGGAAATCATGAGGGCCAATTCAGTTTCTGTCATACTCATAAGGAGCCCTGGTGGCACAGCGGTTAAATGCTCACCTGCTAACTGACAGGTTGATGGTTTGAACATACCGGCTGCTCCACAAGGGAAATATGTGGCATTCTGCTTCTAATAAAGAGTTATAGCCTTGGAAACCCTGTGGGCCAGTTCTGCTGCGCTGTAAGTTAGAATCAACTCAACAGCAATAGGACGTTTTTTGTTTGTTTTATCATGTCCATACGTTTAAAATCCAGTGTCTCTCTAACCTAAAAAAGATGAATGGTAGGAAACTCAACATTATTCTGAATAAACTGTAATATTTTTTCTCTGACATTTCCATTAATAAATACAATGTTTAATAGAATTTTCCACCTTCTGTGTCTTTGATTTTTTTTTCCAACTGCTAAATGAGCATACTGTGACCTGTGATTTAAATATTTAAAATGCTTACCAATCAATTAATGGTTGTGCTTGGGGTTTAATTGATATTTTAATATTTGTTAAGAACATACAAGATGCCTGGCATTACCTTGGTAACCCTAAAAATTTAATGAAATAAGCAACTTACCAAGATTGATATTACCTAATTCTAAGGTCATTTTTAGAGATAATTATGAAATCAACATATTTCATAACCAAGTGTATATGTGAGATGTTCATCAGCCATTTGTAATTCTTAGCATATATTCATGGATACTCTGTGACATATTATGTAAGTGTTTATAGTTGTTCACATCTTGATATGAAAATGTCAATGGTATTTTCAAGGGCAAAAACCTAAATAGAGCTTTCTGCAACATTGCCTTTTCCACTACACTGTCTTGATCTATTTTTCTGCTTTCTTTTTCTGTAAGATGGATGGTATGGTATCAATAAAAGACTTGAATAAAATCAGGACAATTTACCCAATACTCTCTAGATGCCTTTTGGTGTGTTGTAAGCTCCTGACACTTTGTGATGTTTTCACTACTATAGATGGTTTGCATTCAAGGGAAAATAAAAAATAAAAATAAATACAAAGAGACTGGTGAGCTATGTGATTGTTAACCCAAGCATTAAGGAATGACAGTGTTCACAACCAGAATTTA